TACAGCACAAGATACACTGGTTTAGAATTTAAAATTCAGTTCCGGCCTGTAAGCGAGTGGCCTAGTGATCCGATATATGGTAATTGTGGGTTATAATTACGAGACAAGATTTCTTATCGAGGCATTTATGCTCCCTTGTTAATTAAAAATAGGGCAAACTACAATTTACCCCCCGAGTTTTAGTCCCTTCTATCATAAACTCCCCGAGTTTTGATAATACTACCATTTACCCCTTGAGCAGAGTCAAATATGAAGATGACTAAATTGACCATGGTTTACATGCAATCCATTTCCTTTTTTTTTTTTTTTTTTTTTTTACCGTTAAAGATGAAAATTAATTAAAATTTGATATTTTACTTCTAATTACAACAAGTTGATAAATAATTTAATTCATGATTAATAATATTAAATCAATTATGTTTTATAAAAAATTAATTAATGAAGATTATTTTATTTTAGAACACATGATATAGTTAAGTTTGAGAATTTATTGTTATGTGCATTAACATACATAAAAGAATTAATGTGGAGTATTTTTAACTTAATTTATTTTTTATTTTTTTAAAAAATATTTAAATTGTATAATTTAAAAATAAAATTGACGGGTATTTTTGACCGTTTACACAAAGTTGATGATAATGTTAGTATGATGAGAGGAGATTTGGTAGGTTGACTAGGAATCAAGGGGGTACATGGTAGCATTACCAAAACTCGGTGGGTTTATGGTAGTTTGAGTGAAAACTCGGGGGTAAAATGTAGTTCGCCGTTAAAAATATCGACCAGCTTACTCCTTCGAGCTTGGAGTTCTTAATTAAGTGGAATAATTCAGAAAATAATGTTATGTACGTAGCTTCATTAAGATCTGCGTTTTGAAGAAAAAGTCCAGCGATAACACAACATGCACCTGCCAACTGTAAAACAGTAAATTGAAGCAGTACTAGTAGATGGGGAATGACGTTTATTTTATTTCTGAATGGTAACTTAGTGAGAAGTAAATTATATTTCCCATACCTAAAAACGAGTTATTATAATATAAGCATTAAGTGCATGTTAGAGGATGCACTTGATGCGAGAACACGCGCACAATATCCTCTTGTTTTGCAGGTCCAATTTTTTTTAATATGCAACTCACGCGCCCCTTCCTTTTAATTTTAGGAATTGGGTTTTAAAAATTTCTTAAATTTTCAGATCACTTTATTTCTTAATCCGTTAATAATTAGACCAAGTGTCTTTTATCATTTTGATAGTATTCGACGAGATCTATCCGACAAGATCCCTCATGAATATGTTTTCCGAAACTTAAAAAAATTTATGCAGTAGCATTGGTCTTACTAAAAGACATTATGGTCTTATTGTGTATTTTAGGATCAAGACCTACAGAAAAGACCAAAGGCCAAAGGCCAAAGACGAAAATTGAATACCAAAGAGCGAAGATCCAAGACCAGAGTAAAGAGCGAGCGTGTGTCGGAACAACGATAAAAGACCAAAAACCAAAGACCAAGAAACCAAAGACTAAAGAGCAAAAATCGAACACCAAAGACCCGAGTGAAAGAGCGAGTGTTGTGTGAGGAGCAAAGACCAAAAACCAAAAACCAAAGATCAAATACCAAAGACCAAAGACCGAAGATCAACGATCAAAGACCAAAGACCAAAGACAAAGGACCAAAGACCGAAAGCCAAAGACTAGAGGCAAAAGACCGAAAGCCAAAGACCAGAGACCAAAGACCAAAGACCAAAGTTAATTAGTTTAGAAAAATTCATAAGGTTAATCGTGTTACGGCACAAACTAGGCCATAACCGACACAGAAATGCTTAAACCCCTCAAAACCCTAAACCCTAAACAACTACACCCTAACTGACACGGAAATGCTCAAACCTCCCTAAACCCTAAACATACTTTTTTTTTATTGGTTTAAAAAAATTTATAAGGTTAATCGTGTTACGGCACAAACTAGGCCCTAACCGACACGGAAATGCTTAAACCCAACTAGATCTAACTGGCACGGAAATGATTAAACCCCCTAAACCCTAAACATACTAACTTTTTGTTCTTGGTTTAGATTTTTTTAAACCAATTAGGCTAGGGTCTCGTTGGTTTAAAAAAAATTATAAGGTTAATCGTGTTACTGCACAAACTAGGCTCTAACCAACACGAAAATGTTTAAACCCTCCTAAACCATAAACCCTAAACAACTAGACCCTAACTGACAAAGAAATGGTTAAAATCCCCTAAAGCCTAAACATACTAATATTTTTTTTTGATTTAAATTTTCTTAAACCAAACAAGACCCTAGCCTAATTAGTTTAAAAAAATTTATAAAGTTAATCGTGTTACGGCATAAACTAGGCTCTAACCGACACGAAAATGCTTAAACCCCCCTAAACCCTAAACCCTAAACAACTAGACCCTAACCGACAACTTCCTAGATCGAACCCCAAATATCTTCTATCAAAGTTATCACATGTCCTTCTCATAATCCTTAGAAAACAAAGGATGAAGTTAAGTACCAGATCTGAGTAGATAAATAAAAAAAAAGAAGAAGACCTAAACTTATTCATGATTCATGGTGATGAATGATGAATCAGTTTAAATGATGAGAGGAGAGGTTGGGGAGAGAGAGAGAGAGGGGAGCGAGACGAGAGAATAATGACTGAAGCTTTAGAAGTTTTATTTCCCTTTTACCAAATTTATTTTTTAAAAATAATAGTATTAAAGTACACTGGACCAAGCGGCTCGTCGAGCCAACGAACAAGCATCGAGTCGAACTCGAGATCGGCTCGTTGCTTTAACAAATTAACTCGAGATCGACTCGAACTCGGTCAACTCAAGTTCGAACCGATCTTTGACCGAGTCGGCTCGCGAATAACTCACGAGCGGCTCGATTCCTTTACGGCCCTATGTGTCAGTATGTTCTGATATTCTTAACATTTTTGCTGTATATTACAAGGTATCCATTGTTAATAACATTTATTAATCTCCCTCACTGACAATAAAACATCTAAGCTATTGTCACATTAAAAGAAGAATAAAAAATGAATTGCTTTCTCTATATCCCTAAAAAATAGTCCACCTTTATACCTTTTAAATTGCAATGATTTTAGTGTAAAATTCACACATACAATGTTGACTATCTATATAATATACTAAGGCAAAAACCAGAGAGAGAAATCTAAAGTTAAGGAGCACATGCCACATAGGATTTTATCCTATGTGGCATTTTCTTAATTTTCTAGATATAAAAATGCACAAAGCAAATCAATAAAAACCAAAAAAAAAAAAAAGCAACTGAAAAAATCCAAACCCTATATTGATTCGACCAAATCCCTGCAAATCCGATGGACGGATCTCTTCCTCCTAAAAAAAAATACAACTGAAAAAGAATTTTATATTAATAATTTATTAAAATAATTAAAAAAATTAGGCCAATCTGAAACTTCTATAATTTAGCTTCAAATATGGAATTGAGTTAAAATACTATGGTGATGGGTTGATGTAGCGGGGCTAAGAATGGCTCTGGCAAAGAATAAAAATATTAAAAGGCTTCAACTATGGCTATTCTTTCTTTTTTTTTTTTAACGTTTTGAAATCCAAATTTTTAGTTTATCTTTCTTGAACCTAAATGGCAAAATGTACATACATTAGAAATAAAGATACTAATTTATACATGAATCAACTACTACTCGCTAAGTAAGGAGGTCTCAACACTCGGGATCTCACAAAAATGGTCTGAAGATGGATAGAAAGCAAAATAGCTGAGAAACTGTTTGTTTTGTCATGTAGAAACGGAATCAAGAAACGGCTTTGAATGCTGACGAAATGGTTCTTCTTGAATGCTGATGAAATCTTGATTCTAACGGTGCTATTTGTTTTGAAATCTAGAATAGTTTGATTATTACCTCTATTTCGCTAATCTTGGTATCGAATTTCAAGTTCATGTTGTGCTCATCATTCCATTAAAAATTTGCATAGATTTTTTATGCACACTACATTCCAACAATGTTACAGGGACTGTTGAATTGGTTATCTACTTAATTTTTTTTATTTCAGTTTCTGTTTCCTAAAAAAATATTTGTACTTTTTAATAAGATAAATTTATTTGTCTAATCGTGTGTGACTAATGCTAAATGTTTCGTGTTTTCAACAAATATTAAGGGGTCTATGAGGCTAAATATTGGGCTCTTAATTTTTGGTTCTTTTTTTTTCCTGAAAAGAAGTCTATATATATATATATATATTATAGTATAACAAACTCCAGAGAGAGAAAATCTAAGGTATCATATCATGCCACATATGACTAAATCTTATGTGGCAAATTTATGATTTTTTGAACCAAATTTTAAAATTGTTTTCTTAAAAAATCTAACTTTAATTCGAAAAAAAAAATGAGCAGGATGGATTTGACATTTGCAAAAGTGTCTAAAAAGATATTAATAAATAAAAAAAATAGGTAAATGATATTCTTTAAGGGTTAAAAAATAGTCCCACCCTCACATTTAAATAAAATATTTCTGACAACGGGTAAGTTAATTAAAGATAAATTATTAGATAGGTAATGAGAAATAATTAAATCAAACGAACAAATGAGGCTAAAAAATAAAAAATGAAGGAAAGTGAGAATGCATCATATTTAAAAAAGAAAATAATAAAATAAAAACATTGAAATCAAAAGTCACTCCGAAACAAGGAATAAAGGTCCTGATCCAACTTTTTAATTTTTTTAATTTTTCTTATAAAAAAATTGGATGGCCTCTACAACAAGTTAGGGTTGTTGTTTCTGTAGTAACCATTCCTTATCGTAAACCTTTTCAAAAAAAAATAAATAAATTCCTTATCATAATTTTTTACCACCCTAGCCGACCTTTCCACCCCAGACTACCAATGTAGTCTACCTAGAAATATTGCAAGATATATAATTATTTCATTCACAGTTCATTTTTTTTAATTTCTTAACAATATTTTTTGCGTTAAATAAATTATCAGTGTATTCGTTTGGTAAAGTGTTGTCGATGTTTGTGTTTTATAGTTTTAAATAAATTGATTATATATTTTATAAAAATACAATAATCTAAACAAATATTAATATTTTTTTGATTTGTTTCTATAGTAATGTCTATGTATATGTGTTCTCCGTCTATCGGACGGGTCTAACACCTAGTTTGTGTAATACATATGAATTATTTCATGACAGAAAAAATTACAATAGTATATATTAGAAGGTGCATGATTCTTTCCTTTTTTTTAAAAAAGAAAAAAAGTGTACACACCGGATCCGAAGCCATAGCTGAACGTAGATCAGATTATGAGATTTAGGACAGACAGGCGAATGCTATCCTCCAGTTCATCTTCGGTCAAACAGAAGCCCTCATTCATCTACAACAATCTCAACAAACATATATAACCAATTAAGTAACCTCATGATTAGCATATTCTTAATAATCTTGGCCGTTAAATTTCCTCCCTAAGCTTTCTTTAAATTTATTTTTCGAAAGAAAATAACCTTTAAAATTTTAACCAAAAATATGTTTTTGAATGCCTTGATGAGCTATGCGTAATGTATAAAGAAAATGAATTTCTATACATAGTAGGTAAATTATTAAAATATGAACAAGCATTATGTTCATATCCAGAGGATGTTGAGAAATGATTTCATTTTGGTCTGTCAATATCAAACAAAATTTCAACAAATGAAAGCCATATCGTCGGTTATAAATACATGCACGTTAATGATTTAAAGCATATATTAAAAGGTGAGACACAGGTTAAAATAATACGGAGTATATTCAAGTACACATCTCTTTTTCAGACTAATAATTGATTGGTGTGTGTTTGTACCAATAACAAGCAATCAAATCAAATTGAGATTTTTCAAATGATAGGTTGTTGTGAGCTAGGACCCAAGCAGAAAATGGAACCATTTACACTAAAAAAATAAAAAGAAATTGAAATAGGAAAATGTCGAAACTTTACCTTAGCAACTGCGGATGCAACAAGCTTGTTGTCACCAAAAGGCATAAATCTATAGTTTGTGACACTTAGATTAAGGTTGTTCATCTCACTAACAAATTCTTCTTCATGGAACCGGCCGGTTCTGGATTCGCAGGTGACTCTAATCAGCACATCTGGCTTCACAACTTTTATTTGGATATCATTCCATGAATGATCGACTCTGGTTCTGATGATTTCATCAGACTGTGATGAACAAGATTGATCTTGTTCATCATGTTTCATCCGACAATGAGGATGCTCTGAAAGTGTCTTGAGTCGTTTTTCGAGTTGTTTCATGTGATCAATCGCACCATCCATGATAGACATCTTGTTCAACTGAGCAGATTTACACGCATTGTTCCAAACACAAAGTGAATCAAATCTTTTATCAATAAAATTAAGGATCATGAATTCTAATACTCAGTCATATTTGTAAAGATCATGAAACTTGAAATGAGTCTAATAATTTTTGGTTTTTGTATAGTGATAATTAAGTCTTTAGAGTGACTTGTAACATGTAACCATTCTTAGAACTCTGTATATTTCTTTGTATCATCAAAACAATGTTATAAGAGACACTGACCAGACGGTGTTTTTCTTAAACCATCTATCTAAAAGATTACAAATCATCTATTCCAAAATAAAAACCATTCACATGATTTCCCCATCAAATAAATATATGGATGCGAACATATTAAAACACTTAGATCAATACTTTTTTTTGTCCCAAAAGAAAAGAAAAAAAAAACAAGAAAAAAGAGAGGATTCAGAAGAAAGAGACACTGAAAATAAGATTAAATGTTTGAACGCGAGTACCTTTTCAAGTCCAGGAACTAGAGCTGACAAAGCAATGAACTGCTGCAAGAGCTTCTCTCGCCGTTTCCTTTCGGCCATCAAATGATATTTTGCTTGTAATGGTGTTCTACGGAAACTACTAGCTTTCTTCACAATGGGTTGACCATATTCTACCATGTCATTAGCTTCAGATGATGAAGATGTGGAATATTCCGCGCTTCCAAAACTTATCATCTTACTCATCTCTTCGATGCCGGATTCCTTTCTTCCGATGCCCTGATAGAGGCTAAAATCCCTCGAATTCGACGAGTTCGGAAAAGAAATAAATGGGGAGGAAATCGGTGGACTAATGCAAAAACCATTACTCTGGTAGGGTTCAGATGAGCTGAATGCTGGAACTGGATGGTAATTTTGTGGTTGATAATCTTGAACTGAATGCTTCATTTGCAGATGATACAACATGAGAGTTGGATCATTCAAACAATACCTTATAAGCTCTAGATGAGGTAAAAAAATAATAATAATGTCAGACATTTATAAAACCACAATCAATTAATTTCTTGGAAAACTTGCAATATTAAGAATAATTATAGGGAAAATAAAAGACCATATCAATACTGACATCTCACCAGTTGGGCTGATCTTCTTGTTTGCCGGAACTAAGGAACAAAATCAACAGTCAACACGTTAGCTTAACTGGAAAATCTGCAGAAACAACAGCACAAGTAATACTTGTTTAACAGCAAGGGGGAAAACAAGAACAACAAAAAAAAAAAGAACTCAATCATATATGATGAATCCCCATACTAAATGGTTCTCAGATCCATTTCCGCTTAATTACCTCAAGATTAATCAGTAGAAGAAGGGTAAGAATTATTGTGGGTATTTTTCATCTCTCTCTGACCAAAAACTCTGCAAAGAAAAAGGAAAATGGAGAGAGAGAGAGAGAAGAAGAGGACCAATAATATTTTACAGTCAATGCTTTCCAGCTTCGGTTGGCGAGATTTCTATACATGTATGTATACGAAAATGACAGCTTTCCCATTTTGCACGTGTTGTACTGTTCAAAATGTCTTGATGAAATATTTCTTTTTAATTTCTTTTCTTCATAGCCCAAATATTTAGAAGTTCAGCCTACTTGTTTTGCAATTTTTAACTCCTTCATTTCATTTGAAATGGGTTGGATCCAGTGTTGTTATGCTCGACTCGGACCGACCAGTCGGACCGGTTAAACCGGGAACCGGCCTCTATATCGAGCCGAACAAGGTTTAAAATCGCTAAAAAACAGATCGGTCAAAGTCGGGTAAAACCTCAGTCGAACAGCGACTTGGTTAAAACCGGGTCGAATCGGGGTTTAATTTTTTTTGACTTTTGACCCAAAAATCGCACCTTTTCCTGTGAATTTCAAGTTCTAATGTCTTCCAAGGCCAATTTTTCTCTTTTGTTCAAAATTGCCTAACAACTTTTAATTTTTTATACTATTTAAAGTATTAATTTGAAATTTAGTCCCCATATTCATTTTCAATTTTCAAATGTAATATTTTGAATAATCTTTTTCTTGATTTCGCTACAGAAACTTAATTCCATCATTTTATGAAAAATTTATATTATAACTCTAATATGTCACAAAAAATTAATCTCGGAGTACTTTTTCTTAATGAGCATATTAGTTGTCCTTCAAATTCAATATTTGTTTCTAAATAGTAATGTATATTTATCTTAATTACTTTATTAGTATACTAATTTACTTCACTTGAATAACAATTAACTACTGAAAAATATCAATATCAACTAATATAATCAAAGATAGATATAAAGTTTAAGTCTTTTTAATTTTAAATATATTAAATAACTAAATATCATATAATTAGTAATAATGACATCATTAGAATCGACCTCATGAGTTCAATTTGATTATATGGAGACCCATTTGAAAATTACGAAGTATTAATTTGATTCCAACAATTGAAAAATTTATATAAATTTATAAAATACTAATTAATATAAAATTATTAATTAATTAATATTTATGACATCATCATGACATCATCTGAGTCGACCCCCGATTCGATCGACCCCTTGCCCATGCCGAGTCGACCTCCGGTCCGAGCCTGGCAACACTGGTTGGATCTAAAGAAATCAAGAACAAACAAAAGATCATTATTAACTCTCCCTCTCGTACTATAACATATTTTGACTTATTCTAAATTTAATTTATTATGTTTTTGTAATTGAAAATAAAATCTTAAAATTTCACATTTGTTGTGTCTCCTAATTATTATAAAGCCTTTTAAGGTTATTTTCATGAAGAAAAAAACCGATAAATAAAATTTAAAAGAAATCAAATATCTTATAATAAGAATCGGAGAAAATATTTGCAATTCCTAGGATATTATTATTAAGTCATTATTTAACTCCACTCTGCAGATTGATGATAAATCTCAAAATATATCTACTCACTGAAAGGAAATTGAATATATAATGTATCTTTAAACTGATTCATTTTCAATTAGTCCCTAAATATTATTCTATTTACAAATCAAACCCCCACAATCGGCAAACCACTTCCATGGTTCCTGCTTTCCTGTTTGAGGAGAAAATACTCTACAGAAAAAAATCTGTCTGGTGAGAGTTAAGAGCCATATTTCTGTATCTAAGAATTTATGACACTCTTTGTGTCTTCTCTTGTGCTTCTTTTTCTTAACAAAATAAAGAATTTATGACACTTTTTGTATTTTACCTTCTCTTGTGCTTCTTTTTATATTCTATACCAGGCAAATGGTGGTTGGATTCCGCCAATTAATGTTCAGAGATCTATCTTAATATAAATTACAAATTCTGAAATTTAACTGTGTGATTTCAAAGTTAAAAACCAGAACACTATTTTTTGATCGATTTATAGGATTGATGAATTGAATTAGTAATAATTTACTTCAAGCCCTATTTTAATCTCATGATTAGCTTCGGATTTTTAAGTATTTTTATTTTCTTTCGGTCCTACTAGTACTATTACTTTATTTAATAGAAGATAATGGCCTTGAAAGTAACCTATCCCACGTCTCAAGCCCCGTTTTTCTCATGCACGTTTTATGTGCCCTTCTGGTCATTTTCAACGGCGAACGCGAGGCAGGCATTTTATGCTTTACGGAAAGGGGCGCTAGTTTTCGACTTGAACAAGAAATTAAGAATAATTATTCCATCTGTAACCGTGTAGTGTTTTTTTTTTTTTTTTTTTAACGAATCGAATTAATATTTCGGGGCGTAGGATAAAAAAAAATTAGGGGAGATGATATTCAGTACAAAGCTTCCAGTAAATTTTGTTAAATATTTACATCAATTTGTAGTAATAATAATACTAAGGTTTTCATACTAAGGTCTCTGTCCCTAGTATTCTTCCTTTTATAACGCTACTAGGAGAGTACCAAATCTATTATATTTAATCGGGGAATCAAATCACATTGCTGATTAGGCATTGAGGGAAGAATCTATTTGTTTAAACATTTTCTGGCCAACAAAAAACACAATCGTAGAACCCACACACAAAGAGTCGTCCATTGCGCGATGACAACGCAAATAAATTGACCTTAAATTATACTCCCTCTGTCCCAAAATTATTGTCTAGTTTGAGATTTCAGTTTTAGTATAATTTGAACTAGAAATGAAAACACAAACTGGAGAATAATTATGGGACGGAGGAAGTACTACTAAATGTATTCAAAAGAATCAAATTATACTCCTTGAATTTTTGTCGACGAAACAAAAAGTACGTAAAGTTGTTTTCTGCTGGTTGGTTGCCTCCGTAGTCAATCAATCTTTATCGTTCATTCGTAGAAGTAATATCATTTTCCCCATATGTGAAATAATTTATCCCATGTCTTATATTTAATTAGTGAATCTACTCTGACAGTAAGAGTTGATGTTTATTGATAGAACTTTGTTCGAAGTTTTGGGAAAATAGTAAAAGTCTTCTTCAAATTTCACTCTGGAGTTGATGAGAAACCCGTAACTTAAGGCTCCACTGTAGTTTGATGATAGACTATATATGCCTCGAGAATTTAATACTCAATTTCGAAATTAATATCTAGTTCAGATTTTCATTTTTAGTATACATGTAATATCATGTAGTTGTTCTTTCGCAAAAGTGAGTATATATTTTTTAGATCATTGCGACTCTTCCATCCATGGAAAGAGACTTTGTTTGAATGAGCACACTACCATAAAAATAAAAATAAGCAGTTGAGATACTTTTTAGTATTTTAATAAGTGGTATAATAAGTGTAGTCGGTGATTGATATAACTTCCAACTTATAATGTGTGCTCTCTTCCTACGAATGTAAATATAGTCGGTGATTTAGATATTTTTTATTAAACTTTTTCTTTCTAGTCTATTCATGAATGTTTTAGCTATTGGTGTATGTATTGTTCGGTCAAGATCATTTGTTTTTAATACTTGTTTGGACTATGGATTTGTTTCATCTATTTTTTTCTCGCTATTTTTTATCTGTCAGGAATACAAAGAATACGATGCCATATTATATCAAAGTAATGATATTGAAGCATAACTTCCAATCATTAAAAAGTGTATATCTACAACAACAATATGTATGTTCATCATACAGTACATATTTTTGAAGAAATCTGATAAATACTTTGTGCGCTCATGCCCAAAAACCAGAATTCCAGGTTTAATATGCTACATTTTTTTTTTCTTTCCTCTTTTGTGGTGTCAATAGCACTTGATGTTCTTGGTTTTTATCTCCCCGCATATAATTTCTATTCAAGTTTTGTGGAGTGTTGTTTGAAAGTTTGATTATGCTAACAAACACTTGATATAAGTGGTAAATTTATTAGTCCAGTTTAACTATAACTCGGGTTCGAAACCAGATATGGACATATATCAGTGATTAAAATACTTGTTGGGAGAGATCGGTCTTTCAAAGGGATCTATCGGTATCAATCCAGATTAGTCGCAGCAATAATTTCGGACACCGGTTGCGTAACATATATATATATATATAAAGTTTAATTATTATGTTTAATACATCTTGTATCATTTTTTAATTTTATCCCCAAAAAATTGAAGAAAAGTATATCAATTAATTATTTTTTTCCTGGTGCTCTACCAAATGATGTTATGGAGATAGTGTCGTAATCGAGAATCAAGGTGTTTTTTTTAAAAAAAAAAATTAATTCGAGTAATATTTAGATGATATGACGAGGACTACAACTAATATGTTAGGATAATACCGATTGCGTGGACAATACTTGTGATGAATGTCTATTTATATGTATTGTGTCATGCGTGTGCTTTTCCTACCATGATCACGTTTCATACTAGATAACTCCCGTGTATTCACGGGCTCCCTATTAATTTTTCATGTGTATCATCGGTGTTATTGATAAAAGTAAATTTAAAATAAAACAAAATACGAAATAAATAGTTTTTACTTAATGAACAATATTTATGAGTGTATACAAATACAACCATTATTTGTTATTTACTATTATTAATTAACACAAATTATTTGCTAAAACTTATTTTTATATGATAGAGAATAGGGAGGAGCAAATGCGGGAAATGAGTTGGAATTGGAAGAGAAAATGCAAAAACCAAAAAGGAACATGTATGTTATGAAAAAATTATCTAATTGCGCATTTATTCATTACAAAGCATGGAAATCAATACATTACACAAAGAACAATGTTGCATGCGGTATTAAACTAAGGAAAAGGGATTTAAAAAAATTAAGGAAAAAGGAAAAATTTTGGCACATCAGTCATCCAAACTAAGGAGGTAAAATAGAAAAATAAAATTAATTCTAAATTACCAGAAAATGACATATCAGCGGGAGTAAGTAAAATAGGCGGGAAAAAGGTATAATGGTTTTTTCTAAGGGGTTCTGTTTTAGTATATAGTATGGTTCTTAAAAGTTTGAACTACCTTTACTAGTAAGAGTTTGATGCAACAAATATGTTATCTGTTCGTTACAAATGTTTTGATGCATAAACGTATATATCGAGATTTGAATTCAAAATCTTGTGAATACAAATTTTCTTTTTAACCGTCTCACTTATTTCTATTTTACATTTAGTTCTAAACTAAAAAACTTGTAAATGGTGTCATTATTTGTTTATTTATTTTTTGTTTAAAGACCTTAAAATCTAGTCCCCAACAGAAATTTAAACCAAGTTAAAATACTTCGATACGATTATATTCTTATATTATAAGCATAAGAACTTCAGCGCAGTAAGATAAATTAAAGTTTGAGAATCAAATTGGAAAAACTTTCCAATGAAGTTGGGAATGACCAAAAGATCACAAATACTGAATTATCAATATGACATAATCGAGGTTCACTAACTAATATTTAGATTTTATTGTACTTTGCAACTTTAAAGCGGTGAAAAATTGAACTTAAACATTAAAAAAGGCGGCCGAGAAAACGTACGGATGACAAGGACTGGTGCCGAAAACGTAACAAACAAAACGAACAAACCAATGAATGATGAAACACTCCCGCCCTTACCTCTACGGTTCTGTTTTAAATGCAATTTACTCTACGATACCCCCATCCTTAATTGACGCCATAATCTAAATAAAAAGCTTCCCAGAGCCAGAACCAGAGTTTTTTTTATATGAATTATCAAAATCCCATAAAATCTGAAGAATTAGATTTGAAAAAAAGGGATAAAAGATATGATGAATGAGATCAAATTTTGCTGTTAAAATGGATAAGATATGGATTTATACTAGCTAGAGAGTTTATTGTTAGACCAAATTCCCCTATTTAAACGGGATAACATAACATCTTGTTATCTGATTACAAAAATTTGGACTACTCTCTCCTGGTAGTACTTCCTTGAATGGTGCAATTAATATCTGCCATTGTGGTCAACTTGTGCCAAATTTTCAAATATTTTAAAGTTTTTTAGCAATTATTGGCAGTGGGTTGGTCAGATTTGACGTGGGTTTTTGAGGGTTTATTGAAAGATTGGATTTTTTTTTGGGTCCCCTGAAATTGTTCTTGTGTTTTGGTTGGACGAAAGGAGATCAGGATGGGAGAATCGCCAAAGAAGTCTTTGGTCTTTGCTTATTATGTGACAGGCCATGGGTTTGGTCATGCCACTCGTGCTGCTGAGGTACTAGTTTCTTGCATTTTCCCCTTTTATCTATCTTGTGGTGTTCTTCAAATTTGATGTATTTTGGTTTTTAGGATTAGGGGTTCATTGATGTTTGTTTGTTTTATGCCAATGCTAGCTTTGCTGGTTTTTGAAGTTTGGTGAAATGAAAAGTTTTGATCTTGGCAAAAATTTCTGTGGAGGAAGAATGTATCGATTGTAATCAGATTGATGCAACCAAAGCGGATTATATGTTGTCTGTTTCGTGTTCTATGTCAAGGTATGGATTTCATAGGTGGAAATTAGAGAAAAGTAGTGAAGGTATAATAAGAACAAGAGTGATGTATTGATTAATTGAATCTTGTGACCTGATCAGCACAATATTTTGGGTGAGTTATAGATAAAGGAAGAACAGTTATGAGAATATCTGATGTCGAAACAAGTCTTTGCGAGATCCAGAGATGTTTACGAATGAAGAGTTTACTTGTCAGTGTTGCACACAAACATTCCACACTGAGTTTGAGTTTGTTGAGAATATATTTATCAGTAGGGGCTTGAAAAAAATTTTGATTTGGGAACCAAGTGATCTCAAGTCTGAGTCTTTTTTTAGTTTGTGATGCCAGCTATTTGGAGAGTTTGGTGGGAGGTGCTATTCTTGTGGATGTAAAGATGCTACTTAAAGCTTAGGTTTACTGATTGCCGAAACTTGTACATTATTGTTTTGCACTATTATCTTGACTTAAGCAAATAGGTAAGTCTACACGATTGCTGCATGATTTCTCAAGTTTTATGTCAATTTCAAAGCGAAGAAGGACAGCCATTCATCTGGATTTAACTGTTACTAGAACGAATCAGTGGCTTCAATTGATATTCTTTCTCACTCCCTTCTCTTGCTTTGTCTTTGTGGACATGGCTGTTGTCATATGTTCTTGCATTTGCCTGATTGGTCTTAAATGTGTTACTGGGGACTTTTCTAGTCTGTTTTGATCTCATCTTGACATGCCGTTCAACCTATTTATTCTCAAAGGTTCTCTTCTTAAGCTTCAGCCTTAAAACTTTTATGTTCCTTGCACAGATAGTCCGAAATCTCATTCAAGCTGGGCATTGCGTCCATGTAGTTGCTGGTGCCCCTGAATATGTTTTTACTACTGCAATAGAGTCACCCAGACTGTTCATCCGCAAGGTATACTAGATTCTCTACGCATCTTGCCAATCTGTAGTTCTTTGCTCTCATTTTTTTGAATCATGCCTTGCTATCTCAGAAAAATGAGAATTCTTTTTTGAAACTTGTTCTGCAACAAACCATTATAGGTGCTATTGGATACTGGAGCTGTTCAAGCAGATGCTTTGACTGTTGATCGCTTTGCATCTTTGGAAAAGGTGTGATGATCTAGTGAACATTTTTGGCTTGTCATTTTCTTTTTCTCCGCAATATCTGAAACTTACTGCTATCTTACTATTTATGCATGTAGTACATAGAAACAGCTGTAGTACCGCGGGCTTCTATTTTGACTACAGAAGTAGAGTGGCTGAAATCTATCAAAGCTGATCTAGTGGTAATATCTTGTTCAAATTAAGGTCAAGTTTCAATTTATTTATGTGTCCAGGATTGATGTTTCTCATCTAGCATTGCTGTTGGCTCACAATGCATCAATTCTTTGATAAGAATATAGTTTTACATGTCCTATTTTTTTAAACAGGCCTTTTCTTTTTCTTTTTCTTTTTTGGGACTATCCTATGGTTGATTTAATATCTATTCTTCTCTTAATGTATCTCAAATAGGTATCAGATGTTGTCCCTGTGGTTTGTCGTGCTGCTGCAGATGCTGGAATTCCTGCAGTTTGTGTCACTAATTTCAGGTATTATCAGCATCTTGATAATCATGTACTCCACAGGTCATAACTGCCACATAACCAGCAAATTATAATACTTTTTGTTTGACAACCTGCAATTTATGTTGTATCTTCTTACTGGTGCTACTCTTCCCACTCTGCATCAACCATGTGCATACAGTAGCATCCTATTTCAATCTTATTGACACTTTCACTAGTAAGTACAGGCAGTACAGAGATCTTCTTTACAGATCTAATTTTTTTAACTATTATTCCATGACAGCTGGGATTTTATCTATGCTGAGTATGTCATGGCTGCTGGTCACGACAACCGTTCAATTGTTTGGCAGGTAATAGAATTTAGATGTTTGTCAATCTCCATAAATCTTCAGGATGCATATTTTTGTTACTTGCAATGAAGAAAAATACTCTAATGCTTTGCATTGCTGATAGATAGTATAAACTAAAAGAGTTGAGCAAGACTTTAAGATGGTTCTTTCACTAGAGATATTGCTTTCACATGATCTGTCGGTTCTCCTTTGCATATGGGATTGTGTCTTGACATTGATAAAACTACACCTGGAAAGCATCTTATTTTTCTTTTCTGCTACACAAGTTGGGCTGATAATTCCATTGTGTTTCTTCTTCTTTTTTTGTTTAATGATTAGGAACAAAGTCTTTGGTATGCAGTGCTTTTTATTCAGTATGTTGCTTACCTGAGGCTTGTTTATGGATGGAACATATGTTTCTGTATTTTCTGACGCCTGTATTTCGTTTTAATCTTCTTTAGAGCATCTTGATTTCCTTTCTATGCTTAAGCTAAGGCAACACATACTGTCACTAAGATAATAACTCATGGCAAAATGTGATGTGATGGAAGTTCCAGCAGTATAACACATTTGAATTGGAATTTGTAATTGCCTGACTTGTGAAACTTTCATGCAAGATCTCAAGAGTTTTGTTGAATTTCTAAGATAGATTTCCAACTTGTTTGTTTAGTTACGTGCGCAACCTGCTTTAACATTGTCTGTGCTGCATCAAGTACTTGTTATTTAAGTATTTAAGTTTGCTTTTGATTTCAACTACTCTGCAGATTGCTGAAGATTATTCTCACTGCGAAATTCTAATTCGCTTGCCAGGATATTGTCCAAGTATGTCCACTTCCACCAATCATAGAGTTTCTTATTAGTTTTGGCGTCTATTGCCTGTAATCATTTCAGTTTCAAAAATAGCTCTCTTTCTTTAATTTCTGAATCGTAGTGAATGGTTTAGTGTATCTTATCAGTTGATGTATGGGTGAAAAATTTACAGTGCCTGCATTCCGAGATGCCGTTGATGTGCCTCTTGTTGTCAGGACGCTTCACAAATCTCGAGCAGAGGTGCGTTCTTGTAGTTATGAGCTTCATGCGATTTACTGTTTGCGTTCATGTCTGAATATTTTGTTCTACAGGTCAGGAAAGAGCTTGGAATAGAGGATGGCATGAAAGTTCTTGTCTACAATTTTGGTGGGCAGGTAAATTGTTGCTCAATTGTTTTTTCTTTCTCTTTGTTTTCTCCTTTTTCTTTGGTTGATTCGCCTACAATTCTACTTGTAGTTTTTCCCTGGAAAATATCCCTTTTCCCTATCTCCAAATTTGCAGTAATCTGTCTTTTTGTTGAAGTTTTCAATAAAATATAGTAGTACTACTCGTCTCTTTTACCATCAACCTTTCAACTAACTTCATACTGTTGTCTACCAATATCCCTGATTCATATTTGGTTGTACATTGATGGGAGATATTACGTCTAATTATTGTTGATTAAGTAGTTGGACGAAATGAAGAGCTTATTACCCTAAGCTGACTGGACTTATGTGCTTAAAATGTTGACATATCTTCATTTCTTGTATCTAGCTATCTGGATGGAATATAAAAGAAGAATACCTTCCCTCTGGATGGATTTGCCTGGTAAATGTCAAACATTTCTTCCATTTCTTTTCTTCAATTTGCTCGAAAGTTACATTTGTAGGGTACTGATCCAACTCATTTCTTTACACCATATGTTGTAGGTTTGTGGAGCTTCAGAAGATCAAGAGCTTCCACAGAATTTTGTGAAGCTCCCCAAAAATATTTATACTCCAGATGTTGTTGCTGCTGCAGACTGCATGCTTGGTAAGTAAAACTAGAATTAAAAGTTTGATATAATCTATCCCTTGGTCTTCCTAATGATTTGTTTCCTTGTTCAAGGTAAAATTGGATATGGCACTGTAAGCGAAGCTTTAGCATATGGAATTCCATTCATTTTTGTAAGAAGAGACTATTTTAACGAAGAACCCTTTTTGAGGCATATGCTTGAGGTACTACATTTTTCTTGCCTGAACATTTGTTGTCATTCACAAAATGGGACATGAACCTCATGTGAAAGACTGTTTATTCTGTTCAACAGCAATTTGAATGTGGTGTCGAGATGATTAGGAGGGATTTACTAACAGGACATTGGGAACCTTACCTAAAACGTGCTGTTACTTTGAAACCCTGCTATGAAGGAGGCATCAATGGTGCTGAGGTATGTTCTCTCTGTTTCTCTTTTTGTTTTTCTTTGCCCGCACCCTCAAGTCCCGTCTGGTAGTATGTATCCCTATAAGAGATAATAGTTCTTTGACCATATTATTTCTGATGGGATTTGTCATTTCAATCCGTAACATCATGGTGAAACTACACTAGATATAAAAGGATGGACCCTCTTGTCATTAAATGAGGCGATGAGCAAGTTGTAGAAAGAAATTGGCTTAGTGATCAACAAATTATATTCTGCAAGCTTCTTCTTGATATCTGAATCACCAAAGCTAATTGTCCTTTACTCCTGCTACTTTTATTTTAGTTCCTGGGGAAGACATTTGAGAAGTAACGATTGAAGTATGCCAATGTAATAAAGATGGTTTAGGGAAATTCTAAGGGTACACATATGGTGGAATGAAATAGAAAGAAAACCTTGAAGAGATTGGAACGAAATGATAACGAAAGACACAAATTAGCAAAACTGAGTGGAACGTACGTGGTTTGGTACTACTGGATGGTCAAATGTGGTGAATCAACAGTGGGATAAAGACTTTATTCTTGTTGTTGTTGCTGTTGTTGTTGTTGTTGTTGTTGTTGTTGTTTTACCTTTAATATCAGATCTTGATATTTCTTTTTCCGTGTAAATTTCGAACACCTCATTTCATGCTTTGTCTTTTGCTGTTTGCACATTACTGTTTAGGTTGCTGCTGGGATTCTCCAGGATACAGCTATTGGAAAAAGTCATGCTTCCAGTAAGGTAGTCTCTTTTAATTTCGTCATCACGATTCTTTCCCGTAAGATAGCATATGAAAGAGGAACGATGTTCCATATTTATTTTAGTGAATTCGATGTTAGAGCAGACATGAAGTATATCCACAAATGTTGCCTAACAATATTCTCCCTTCGGAACCATGTTTTTAGTTGAATAACCAATGAAGGTTAGCTTACAGGTCTTATATTTTCGAAATTCCAACATAGTGATCATAATGTTAATTTCTAGTTCAATTGTTTTTGGACCATTGAAGAAGGAAATCCAAAAGAAGCCAAATATCAAAATGTTTGTAAAGAGGCCTAAGAAGGATGTTATACATCTATGGCTTCCAAAGACACCACTAGGGTCATCTTGCATCCTAGATGGGAGGAGAAAATGGTTGGAGTGAAGGAACCGTGCTTGAGGAGTTGAAAACAAAATTCAACGGAAACTATGTCATGACAGAGTTGGAATCTTAATCTCTAAGATGCTGGAAACCTTTATACACAACTACTTGAATCCTGCATTCATAACTTGGCCAACTTAAATCATAGAAGCCATGTGAGTCCATGTCTATAGCAGCATTAACTGGTTCTTTTAATTATTCTTCTTTCTGTAGTTCCTTTGAGAGAGGAACCAAATTTAGGGGTATCTGGCTGAAGTTGCAACCAACTTTGTGGTAGTTTTAACATTGGCATATATCTTAACATATAGTGGCACATTTTGCTTGTGTAGACATAATCTTTCTGAACTCTTTCATCTGGAAAATGATGTCTCTTGGGAATATAGAAGTTATTGTCTCAAAGGCATATCTCATATTGGTTTATAAAAGAACTGTCTCTATCATTTAGCTCGCTTGTATCTTTATTTGTGCTTCCCCCCGGTAACAGCTTAGCGGGTCTAGGAGATTGCAAGATGCAATCATTCTTGGGTACCAGCTTCAGGGGGTCCCGGGAAAAGATATAGCCGTACCAGAGTGGTACAGTGTTGCGCAAAATGAACTCAGTGCCTATACTGCACCAGCAGATGACAGAACAACTGAGGCCAGCTCATTGAAGACACCGTAAACTTCTGTTTATTCACATCCTTTTTTCTTTTAAGTTTTACATATGACATTGTTCATCAAATCATTCACATTATCTTACTCTTTCCATCTTTAGTTTTTGTGATATTAGAAGTGAAGTTTTTGAAATTCTTCATGGAGATCACCATGGTCTTTCCGATACAATAGGCTTCCTAAAGAGCTTGCAAGAATTACATGACTTAGGTGACCCTGGAAATAATAATACACACCATGCACGTGAGACTCTAGCTGCCGCTACACTGTTTAACTGGGAGGTAGTTTTGGTTTATTTTGCTCTTATGTTATCGTTTTTTAGTAGAAATAACTTGATTGCACAATTTCGGAGTGACTTCTCACATATGGGCCGGCTACAAAATGTGTAACATGATATGCTAAGTCTCTGGTCAATTTGTTGGAAGTGACTAGCTATTGGAACTTTCTAACTGTTTCTAAAGTTACATTCCCAATTTGCATTCTGTTAAACCATTTAGCTTTGGTTTCTTTTTCAATGTTTTTTATTCAATTCCTGACTACAGGAGGAGATTTTTGTGGCTAGAGCTCCTGGAAGATTAGATGTAATGGGAGGAATTGCAGACTATTCAGGAAGTCTAGTCTTACAGGTTGCCTATCCTCTTGTTCTCTGAATTTACTGAAACTTCGAATTGGGCTGAAATCTTATCATAAAACTAATGTTTGTTTATACCCTTTTTTAGATGCCTATTAGGGAAGCATGCCATGTTGCAATTCAGAGGAATCTTCCAAGTAAGCAAAAATTGTGGAAACATGCTCAGGCTAGACAACAAACGGAAGTCCCAAAGCCCGTTCTTCAAATAGTAAGTTTGAACATATGGTTTTTCAATCATAAGGGTCTAGAATGAATGCTGAGAAGAAATTTGATACGTATCGAACACATCGTTTGTTGAAATTTGTGATGTATGGGGCTGAAAGCTGAAAGTAAAAAATTCATTAAAACACTCTTCAGCTCAAGTTAATTCTTCTTTGTAGTCTTTAAGCTCTTTTTGGACTTTTCTGTGCTTAATGTTTTCTTGAAGACTTGTGTTTAATTGGAGCCTTTCTATCTCAGCCCATGGTAAACATCTACGTCGTAATTCTAAACAGGTAACTGGATTTAACTGGATGACTGTTTTTATGAACCGAGAGAAAATTATGTGTTCTGACCTATCCCATATCCTTCATTTTGGTTCCTTAGTTTTGGAGAGAGGTTAGAGCTACATGAGCTCATTTGGTAAAATTGTTGATCTTTCTGCCAAAAAATTTTTTTTTTTTTTTTAAAAATCAAGATATGGAGATGATGAATTGAACACATTCTTTAGTGACTTTCAGTTGAAGAACTCCAACAGAACTGGTTCCTTATTAATTTATTGGATTGCAATTAACTCGCATACATGTATAATTTACAAATACTCTTTTTGAAGGTATCATTTGGATCAGAAATGGGCAACCGTGGACCCACATTTGACATGGACCTCTCTGATCTAATGGACGGTGACAGGCCAATATCATATGAAAAAGCGCAGCAATATTTTTCTCGCGACCCATCACAGAAGTAAGTAAATTTTCAATGGACAACTAGCTTTGATAAATGTAAGGTAGCTGTTGTCACTGATTGAAGTTCCTTTTCAGGTGGGCGGCATATGTTGCCGGGACAATTCTGGTACTGATGACTGAATTGGGCATACGTTTTGAGGATAGTATCAGCATGCTGGTATGTTTTGTACCAATCTGTTTTCTGTATGATACTGGCTTTTTCTTTGATATCCATATTGATTGATAATATCTGTTAAAAGTAGTAGTAAATTTTGAGGATTCTCATGAGGGAACCACAAACTACATAAAGGTTGCTTACTGTTAACAATAACTTCGCAAAATGTTTTAACTAACATTTCGTAAATGAAAGTTCCAACTACATTTCAGTTGTTCCTTCTGTTTTGTTGTTGTGATACGATGATTCTCAGCTGCCGAATTAGTAACTATTAGAGTGGAAAAGGTTAATAGTTCCATTATTTTGATTTCTCTTTTATGCTCTTAAAGTTGTTGCTTGCATCCTTCAAGTTTCTAATGACGCATTAATCACTAAAATACATGGTTTCTAGGTAAGCTCTCGGGTCCCAGAAGGCAAAGGTGTATCCTCTTCGGCTTCTGTAGAAGTTGCTAGTATGTCTGCTGTTGCTGCTGCTTATGGTAATGTGCCAATTAAAATTCTTTCCTCTCATCAGCAACTGCATCCGATAATTTTTTATAAACTTGCTTTTTTTGATCTTGAACTAGCAGATATCATTAAACTTCTTGCTGTGCATCATCATTTGCTGCATGTACATTTGAAGTGATTTTTTCTTTCCTCTTTTCATACCAATTGATTAAAACGGAAATCGTGAAAATTGTGACTTGGATTGTAGCAGCGTCAATGCAATTTCTTGGCATATTTTCCTAACTATCAGTAGGTTCTAACTTTCAGATCTAGACTTATGATATAAAAAGAGTCAGATGTTTTGTATATTGATCTTTAGATCAATATCCAGGATAATGAAAGAGTAGAAGCAGGTGGGGCCATTTAAGATTGAAATGAAATCTTTTTAACTAGTTGGGCTTCTCAGATGAAGTTGAGTAGTTTATATGCTTTTAGCCATGTGCGTGGCTGGTAATTAGAATGGAGTAAGGAACAAAACGTTCATGATTGATAGAGAATATGTTAAGATAAAAATACTGTTAACACTTTTCAGTACGAAAGAAAGAGGAGAAATTGAATAGCAAATAATGAGCATATCCATCTGTAAACTGAGAAAGTATTCCATTTAGCTTCATGCAAAAACATTAACACCACCTAGTTTGGATTTAGATGCTATCTATAGTTTTATCAAAAAGTTATCTGGCCTTTAAGCTGCTACAAAAGAATGTTTCACCATTCAAAACTTAACTTATGAGAAACTGGATGGCAATTAGACAATTCTGTTTACAAATTTACATGATTTGTCTGCTCATTTGTCTGCATGGTTGAGGATTTTTATCCCCCCTCCTCCTCCTCCTCGAAATGAACAGAATGTGAAATGGAATAAGGATGACCCCTACCGACAAGAGACTTTAACATGGTCTAAAATTATTAATACTATGATTTGTGTTGAAAGAACTTGAAGAACTTATGCCTTACACTTTCGGTATTCCTGGGTCCTTTTCCATCATCTGAAAGCATCTTTTGCTACATCAAAGCTCTTATACCTGCTGCAAAGTTAAATAATGGGTAGGATTCAAGCTGGAGATGTTATGATGCCTAGAAGGGTGAATTTCTGTTGTCAAGATGGAATGATGCTCTCTTTCATCAGAATGAGCAGGCTATTATCATTAGAAACCGTTAGAATCAACTTGCTTGCATGGCCTTCCTCTTAGCTACACTGATTCTCCATATGCCTCTTCGTGCAGGGTTGAATATTTCCCCAAGGGATCTTGCATTGCTTTGTCAAAAGGTATCCATGTTCTGTTGTGCGTTTATGCTTTAATTTATAATTTTTAGGTAAAATACAATTTCCATATATCTCTCTTTTTTATATTTCCAACAGGTTGAGAATTATGTGGTTGGTGCTCCATGTGGCGTAATGGATCAGATGGCGTCCGCCTGTGGTGAAGTGAATAAACTCCTTGCCATGATCTGTCAGGTAACTATAATGTGGCTAAAAGTTTGTGACGTCACATGACTTGACATAAAATTCTGAAAACTTTCTGCTGTCTGCAGCCAGCTGAGGTACTGGGTTTGGTAGAAATTCCACCTCATATTCGGTTTTGGGGAATTGATTCAGGCATTCGTCACAGGTATGAGAAACTATGTTTTTCTTTTTTACCCCAAAATTTTGATTGGCCTTAAGAAAAACAGTCCCCGGGTAAATTTGAAAAAATCGCGAGAAGTGTTAGATACTCCCTTTGTCATGCTCAGTGGAAGGTTAAGTAGGTTTAGTCTCCATTGAATTTTCCTTTGAAGTGAACTTACTTTTCTATTTTTTTGAGTAGATTAAATTATTCGTCAGCTTCCAACAATTCTATTGGTTTCCTCAAGTCATTTTGTTTTCAAAGTTTAAAGAGAGCTGCTTGTTTTCACTGCAGCGTTGGTGGCGCAGATTATGGATCTGTTAGAATAGGTGCTTTCATGGGTCGGAAAATCATTAAGTCTACAGCCGCAACAAAGTTGTCCCCATCATCTTCTGACAACTCTTCTGAACAATTGAATGGAAACATCACAGATGAGAAAGATTCGCAGAATTTGCTTGAAAATGAGGCTTCACTTGATTACTTATGTAAACTGCCGCCTCATAGGTAATTTTTGGTTGGTAGGTTTATGTGGTCGTTCTTCGATTGTCTTCAGTTTGTCCAGGATCTCAGAAAGGTTTTTTGTTTGTCAGGTACGAGGCCTCTTACAGTGTCAAGCTTCCAGAGTTTCTTCAAGGACAGGAATTTGTCGATAAATATGTTAATCACGAAGATTCTGTAACCGTTATTGACAAGAAGCACACATATGCAGTGAGAGCACCTACAAGGCATCCTGTATATGAAAATTTCCGTGTCAAGGTAAAGTCTTAAAGCTTGTTTTTCTCACTATAATTATAGGGTGGGGCTGGGTCATGAGTTCGTTTGTTGCTTACTTTCATGGTGCTATTTACCATAGATTTTTGAGTCATTAGTTAGCATCTACTTCAACTGGCATGTCTTTTGGCATGGCCAGGAAAAATAAAATGCAAGAAGAAGCCATCAGTTTCATCAGATCAACACCAGATGTCAAATTATAGTCTTGTCAGCTTTTGTTTACTTAAAGTAAATTAATCAGAAACTATTTCTTTTTGGCACATCTTTTGGGTGGTTTATAGGCCTTCAAAGGACTATTATCTGCTGTTCCCTCCGATGATCAGCTGTCTTCTCTTGGAGAAATTATGTATCAGGTACCCTTTGTTTTCTTTTTTACTTCATTATCTCTTTGAAGTAAAGTATATCAAATTTGCTATTAGTGGCTGCTGATTGTGATGACTGACTCTTCATTTTAATATCACACATGACCCACATAGTTATAACTTGGAATCTGTAGTAACATCCCCATAAAATGAATTTGGAACAAGAACTTTCTTTTCTTGAGTCATAATGAAGACATTGAAATTTTGATAAAGGAACAAACCATACTGAAAAGTTCTTTAATCAGAAACTTGTGTCAAGTTGTATCATGTTCACATTTCAGTGACACACTTTTCTACAGTGTCATTACAGCTATAACCATTGTGGAATCGGATCAGATGGAACAGATAGATTGGTGGAATTAGTGCAAGAACTTCAACATAGTAATGCATCACAATCAGAAAGCGGTACTTTGTTCGGGGCGAAAATTACTGGTGGTGGTTCTGGTGGGACGGTCTGTGTCATTGGGAGGAATCTTCTGAGAAGCAGTGAACAGATTCTTGAGGTAAAATTTCAATCTAATCGTTCAGTTTCTTCAACAGCATGATTAGAACTTTTCCTGGATGAGAAAAGCAACCATAACTGTTGCATCGTATAACAGTAGCACATATTACCATACATTCACACTGGTTAAGTGAAGCTGGTCGAGTTGCACATCATTCCTAGAAAACGATCTTGTGTAACTTCTTACAATGACTGTGTTAATCTTTCGCGCCATAACTGTTGTTTTCTCCTTCCAGGGCATTGCGTCTTCCTCCTTCCATTGATCTGCTTTTCCAAAACATTTACCTTTTGCTGTTATATCTTTTTGTGTAGATTCAAAGAAGATACAAAGCTGCCACTGGGTTTATGCCTTTCATATTTGAAGGTTCATCGCCAGGGGCAGGGAAGTTCGGTTACTTGAAGATTCGTCTCAGGTCGAATAACTGATGATTTTTTTTTGTCATAGATAGATGCAATGCCTTTCACATTGTCCAATCAATAGTAGACTAATTTCTCCAATTCTATTCTAGTGATCAAATTTCTTATTGGGATTGAGATATCTGAATTCAATAAATTTTTGTATTGTTAAGCATTTTCTTAATTCTTCTTCCCCTGTAAATATCAAATATCAGGTCTATACTTTTTCTTCAATAGACTGCCAGAATTTCCTTTCCTGATTCCATTGTACTTGTAGAATAAATGACAAAACAGGGGAACTTGACTGAATAATCACGTCAATGGCACCCCTTTACTCGCTAAGGGAAACAAAATTGATGATTTTATTTGTATATTCATTTGAGGTAGATAGGGCAAAAACTATTTGGGGGAATAAGTGTTTTTCATTTCCCTGATTTGGATCACATAAACAAATCTGTCCAATTATATTTGAGGAAAACACAAATAAAGAATTTAGACGTGAAGCTGAGGACTATCTACATTATTTACTCTTTTAGCTTTCAAGATCAGCTAAAAGTACCAAGATTCAGGGGGACCATATTTGTTGTCATTCCTAAGGTTGAAAAAAAATCTTTTAACTTATAGTACAAATAATCCAACCAAGGACATTTCAACCTCTTCATCATAATTTCAAAACATCAAATTTTCATCGTTTCAGGTGTGGTTTGATTTCTTGTGGGTTTGCTGTCTGAACTTTAGGAGAGATTGAATCAAATCAATGACCCAAAGTACTAATAAATAGTACATGGTCTCTGGACCCTGCTTTCCAGAAACAGGTTTTCCTTTTCACATCCTTCTGTTCTTGGAGATTGGAACCAGATGATCAAAAAAAGCAATAGTACAGTAAGAACCCATAATCAATAATCAAGAAGTTCCAGTAAAAAATAAATAAATAAATAAAAAATTAAGGTGGACCATCTTTCCTGGGTTGACAAATTCTTTTTACTGAAATAAGGAATTCCAGCTTCAGATCACATGGGATGAGATATAACATTAAACTATACCCACTATTCATTGTCCATATAACCTTCTCCAATTCTGTCTCCAGAAGTTGATTAGAGCAAAAGGAAGGATGGAGTCCCAAGGGAGAGTTCTTGCCTTCTTCAAGGTTTATCTGCCTACATCAGCAAAGAAAATGGTGAGGAATGGCTTTCATTTTTTGTGTGTTTTTCGTTAATCAAACACGTGATGGATTTGGTGACAGTAAATTTACATGATTAGAGTAATTCAAGTAGTCTCTGAATTTGTTTCCGGAAGATTGCTGTGGATTGATCATACAAATCTGAAGGTTGGCAGCTGTAAATCCTTTGATTTCCTTTCCAGGATGTCATTCTTTAGCATCAAAATTAATCATTATTACTACATCATCATTATATTTTTCTGTCCTTATAGTTCCACTGGTTAGAGCCAGATTTGGTTGAACTTCATAAATTTTTTGATTATTTTTTACCCATGTGCCAAGAACGCATAACCCAACTCCAGATATTAGCTAAAGCAGAGTTCAATGTTGTTGAATCTTCCTATCCTGAAAAATTCAGCTGCAGTCTTGATTATTAGAGCACCACTTTGATGTGTTAAGATTGGTCGTCATTTGGAACTGATCGTATATCATTGTTCAGCATTCAGAAAATCCCCATAGATTATGCAAGATATATGAAAGAAAGGATACCACCGACTTTGTTTCTAAGGCATCAGGATGGTAAAATTTGGAAGGTGCGTGTTGAAAAAAATGGGAGTGACTTCTATCTCTGTGGCGGTTGGGAAAATTACGTTAGAGATAATTCTTTAGAAACAGGGGATTTCCTGGTGTTTCAGTATGATGGGCATAGCTTTTACGACATAACTTTGCTCGGCCGCAATGGTTGTGCAAAGAGAGTGGTCGAAATGGATGAAGAAGAGGAGGAAGAAACAGAGGAAAATGTGAATGAAGCAGATAAAGAAACGCAAGTGGAAGTTGAAATTGAAGAAGAGGAATACAGGGAACCTGATGGAGAAGATCAATCATCTTCCACAGAGTCAATGGAGTCCAAAATGTCCAAATGGTCCTTTACATTTGGGCCTACTTGAATTTACGTTCCTAACATTAACATTTCAATATCGTAGTCCCAAACATTATGTTTTCAAACTTTTTTTTGTCCCATTTCACTGTTTCCAGCCATTGACATTCCGGAATCAGGGGTATTTTCATCTTTTAATTTAATTTAAATTTCTATTAAAATTTAAATCATGAAAAATATTTTAAAATTCAGATTTCATTATTTAATTGTTAAAATATTATTTATTAATAAAAATGTTATTATAAAATTTTAAGATTTATTATTATTTTCAAAATTCCTTTTATCATTTACTATTTACCTTGGGTACAAAATAAATGGTAAGTATGTTGCATTTTTAATTTTAGGCCCATTGTAACTTAAAAAATTTACCGAGTTACAGTAAATAATTCAAAATTTAATTTTTTTTTTAAAAAAGCAAAACCATGATTTTTTTTTACTTTGACCGCCGCTACATTGAACCCTAAATGGTAATTATGTTACACTTTTAACCTTGGTGTAATGTAACTTAAAAAATTTATCGAGTTATAGTAAATAATTCAAAATTTAATTTTTTTTTAAAAAAAAAGAAAGCAAAAGCAAGATTTTTTTTTTACTCTGACAGATTACAGTAAACCCTAAATGGTAATTACGTTGCATTTTTAACCTTGGACCTACTCTAACTTAAAAAATTTATCGAATTACAGTAATAATTCAAAAATTCAAAAAAAAATTTAAAAAAAAGCAAAACCACGATTTTTTATTTTTTTAACTTTGACCGCTACAGTAAACCGTAAATAGTAATTATATTACACTTTTAATCTTAGGCCTAATGTAACTTAAAACATTTACAGAATTACATTAAATAATTCAAAATTTTTTTTTTAAAAAAAAGAAACTGCAAAACCCGATTTTTTTACTTTGGCCGTTACAGTAAACTCTAAATAGTAACTATGTTGTACTTTTAACCTTGGACCCAATATAACTTAAAAAATTTACCGAATTACATTAAATAGTCAACATTCAAAATTCAAAATTCAAATTTGATTTTTGAAATATTTACTGTAACTCGGTAAATTGTTTACGTCATAGTGGGTCTAAGGTTAAAATTAAAGTGTAACATAATTACTATTTAGGGTTTATTGTAGCGGTTAAAGTAAAGCAACAAAAAAAGGTCTTGGTTTTGCTTTTCTTTTTTTTCAAATAATTAAATTTTGAATTATTTGCTGTAATTTGGTAAATTTTTTAAGTTATAGTAGGCCCAAGGTTAAAAGTGCAACATAATTGTCATTTAGGGTTTACTGTAGTGGTCAAAGTAAAAAAAATCTTAATTTTGCCTTTTCTTTTTCTTTTTTAAAGAAAAAAATTGAATTCTGAATTATTTACTGTAACTCGGTAAATTTTTTAAGTTACAGTAGACCCAACATTAAAAGTGCGACATAATTACTATTTACTTTGTACCTTAGGTAAATGATAATTGAAAATATTATTTTTGAAAATAATGTAAATTTTGAAATTTTATAATAATATTTTTAATTAATAATAATATTTAATAATTAAATAAGGAAATCTGAGTTTTAAAATATTTTTAATGATTTAAATTTTAATAAAAATTTAAAATAAATTAAAAGACAAAAATATCACTAATTCCTGCATGTCAATGGCCAGAAACAGTGAAATGGGATGAAAGAAGTTTGAAAACATAATGTTTGGGACTATGATATTAAAATGTTAATATTAGGGACGTAAATTCAAGTAGGTCCAAATGTAAGGGACCATTTGGACATTTTAGTCACAATATAACGAATTCTTATACTGAGTTTGATTTTGTGTTGGTTGAGCATAGTAGAATACTAAAATTTTATATAACTCATATACCGTAATAAATTTTTTACCAAAAAAGATTATAAATCAATGCGATACCCAAACTATCCGCGCAACTATATCATCTTTGTAGGATATCTTACAACACTTTTAGGTTGACATGCGTTGTCAATTTTACTCTATTCTTTTTCGGTTTGCCAATGTTATCCTAAGTTATCCAATCATTAGCCGATTTAGTCCAATTTGCCGATTTCCGTTTAAATTAACGGATTCCGTTAGTTTTAATTACAAAAAATATCAGAATAGTTTTGAAAATTAAAAAAATGACCCCAAAAATTTGTAAAAATAACCAAACAGTCTTTTTTCACTTTTTATTTAATTTTTTTCTGTTTTCTATTTCTTTTTACTATTTCTCATAACTATAAAAATATGTTATATAATCTTTTTAAAAAAAGCTAGTTATTTTTAAAACACTATTGTGTAAATTTATAGATATGCATATTCGTAACTCATGGTTGATTTACATAAACATATTAATTTTTTAATAATATGGTTTTAACAGTAATGATATTATTTTTTTAATCTATTTTTTTCAATCTAAAAAATAAGACTATTTAACCAAACCTAATTTTGCACAAAAAATAAAACATTTAGCATAGATTAAATTTTTTTTATTGGCATAGTTTAATGTATTATTACAATATAATCCAACATAATTTAGATTGTATTGTAAAATTAAAAAAATAATTAAACTAAAATATACATTTTCTTTAAAAGGCTAGTACAAACAGAAAGTAAAAAAAAAAGGGTACAAAATATTTTATAAAAAATATGTATATTTATCATTGCGAGAGTTTAACATTTCGTGATAATTTTTTTGAGATATTAACATCTAACTTTAGCAGGAAATGTTTTTTAATAATAATAATAAAAAAAATCTACTCCAATACTGGACTCCACCTTTAAAAAAAAAGATCGCCCCAGTGAGAATTGATGCTTCGAACACAATAATAATCATCTCCTATCTTAAATAATCTGACCATCCAACTCAACTCTCTCACCTTTAGTAAACCATGCATAAATGTGGATAAAATCACTCTCCCGATTAAAAATCCTTGGTGAGAATTAATCTTATATCTACTATCATGAAGCTCAACACCCTAAACACTAGATTGTACACTATATTTTAGTTTAGTAATTTTTGAATTGGATAATACAATCTATAGTTTGTTTATTCAATTTGTAATAAATTAAAATGTACTAATATATTAATTTTTAATCTATGCTAAATGTTTTACATTTTTGTAAAAAAATTGGTTTTTAGTCAAAGAAAAATCATTCTTTAAATTAAAAAAACGGTTAAAAAAACTAATATCATTATTCTCAAGTTATATTATTAAAAAATTAATATATTTATGTAAATCAACCATGAGTTACAAATATACATATCTATAAATTTGCACAATAGTGTTTAAAAATAAATAGTTTTTTTTTTAAAAGATCATATAATATATTTTTATAGTTATGAGAAATAATAAAAATAAATAGAAAACAGAAAAAATTAAATAAAAAGTGTAAAAAGACTGTTTGATTATTTTTACAAATTTTTAGGGTCGTTTTTATAATTTTTAAAACTATTAGGGTATTTTTTGTAATTAAAACTAATAGAATTCCGTTAATTTAAACGAAAATTGGCCAATTGGATAGAATCGGCTAACGGTTGGATGCTTAGGGTAATATTGACTAATAAAAAAAGAATAGGGTAGAATTAACAACGCATGTCTACCTTTGAGTAGATCGACCAATTTTTCCACTTAAACTACTTCAATTTCAAAAGACTCCCGAATTTCATTCAGGAAATGGCCAAATTGTATTCAGTATCTTAAGATGGGCAATGTAGATCGTACATCTTTATTGTACCATTCCAACGCACTTACTCATCATTCAAGAACGGGTACAAATTGAACAGCCTGTAAAACTTGCTAAAACAAGGCCATTGTGTATTTATAATGTTGTAATGATACAACCATGAAAATAAATAAAAGAAAATGTAACTAGCACATGGGATATATATATATATATATATATATATATATATTGATCAACCTGGCTTTCAAACTCCAATGTGATACAAGTGTTTTTCACTTATTTTCAAGTTCAAAGGAAGAATTTAACAGTGGTGCTCCTCCGGAGAGAGACGAATAAAAGATGCCTGATTCGGAAGCCCAAAAAAAAAAGTCTTACAAATTATGCCCTGATTTGGTTTCCAAATGTTCTCGGTGTGTGTTCGGCTACATGTTTTTGGGATTTAATTGGCATTAGAATATTTTGGGATTCAATTGGCATTCAAGATACTTTAATTCAATGCCAATTTATCCGTTCGGCAAAATCATGTAATTGGCCCCAAATTCAATTGGGATTCCAAATTCTCTGTTCGGATAGTCAAGTAATTTGGTTGGTTTTGGCTTTTGCTTATTTTTTACAAAAATAAAGAAAAAAGAAAAAAATTGATTTATTTTGAAATTATTTCAACTTTTAATTTTTGTTTTAAATAGTATCATTTCTAGAATAATATATTTTATTATCATCTTTAAGGTGACAAAGAGGAATCTCTTTAAATTTTTATTTTTTAAATTTATCAATTATTTAAATATTCATTATAATGATCAATTTAGGTCGTTCCAACACTGTTACATTAACATAAATATAAAAATTACAAAAATTGGTTATGTATGCAGTAATTAATTTAGTTAAAGTGATTGTTTTGAAACCAAAGAAACTAAACTGATTATAAAATGAAAGGGCGGTATCACCCAATTTTGTATATAATATAACAATCACCCAAACATTTCATATATTCTTATCAAACATAGAATCTGGTGAAAATACTTATCCAACCAATATTACTACCACTAAAACCAAATGATTCTACATTTCATCAAATTTCAGAAAATAAGATGTCAACCCAATTTTCTAGCTTATGACATCAGCTATGCTAAATGCATCCTTTCCACTATCAATAGATGTATTATATATAATACACTCGCCCAAAAGCACAACAGCTAATCCCCTTATACAAACAGTCGTAGTTGGATTAGAAACCAACACGAGCAAATAAGTTAGGTGAGGGCGTGAATCAAGGAAGCACTGTACTGCATTTGGACAACCAGAGAGCCAGACAATTAGTAGTTTCAAGATAACTGGTTCAACATATGTGTTCCGAGATGCGCTTGATTTTCCATCATTACTTTTCATAGAAGAGAAAAGAGCCAGGTACTTCACCATGCAGTGCATTAAAGGCTTTGAACCTCCTCAAGTTGGTACCGGAGCTTCGAGTTCAATTCGCAAAACCTGCACCATCACATTAACTTGAAGATCTCGCTCACATAATTACTAGTATATATGATACTTTAACCAGTCCTGTCAAAAACCTAATTGCTTCTTCAATCTTGTTATAGTCACTGAATTTGTGGTTGTATCTACATAGCTATCCACCAAATACTGGCTCATGCCCTCATGCTATCTGCAAATGATGGCAAAACTACATTACTATGCGACACTTGGGATTCATTTGTAGAAATTTGAACTTTTCCCATCATTTAGCTATACCATTGATGAACTCTTCCTCCACTTCCTCAATTAGAACAGAAGGAAATAAGACAGATTTTAAAAACATACATTTTTTTAAAAAAATTCTAGAACTATTGTAAGTATAAGCTTACAAGGAGAAGGTACTCTATAAGAGGGAAATTGGAAACACCTTCCAAATGACATGTGAACATCATCTTTATATGGAGCATAAGTCACCGACTGTGGCTGCGGGGTCAATGTTGATGCTAACAATTTCTGGCCATCAGGGTTTTTCTGCATCCAATGGGCAACCTCGACATATTATTGAAGAGAACACTGGAAGGTGAGTGTATAGGGTATAAACTTGATAAAGGCAAAAAATATTCTACTAGTTTGAGCAGTGAACCATTATAGGCATATTTTCAAAAAGCTCAAAAAAAGCAAACTAACTAAAGTACGAAACTACAAAAGGCAAACCTCACAGAAGCTCTTAAAGACATAGTCAGCAAGACAGCAACTATAAACTCTTGAACACTGGAAGTGCGCAAGATAATCATTGGTTGTCTCCCAAGTCAATTCATGCAAAGCGTATAATTTCAATTTCATTTTCTATGCTTAAAAGTATGCCAATGGCTTATCTACCAACACAGAACTAGCTGGCAAGGACAGAAGACAATTTTAGAAAAAATTCCAAAAGCAGTAGACAGAAAATAGCACCAGCTTTGACATTCCAAAATGCATGCAACCTTCTCCCAACATGATATTGAAATAATCAGGTGATGCAAAAGGGATTCTTTGCATTCATTGGCATGGCAGATGAGAAAAGCAATTTGTAGAAGGAACTCCAAAAAATAAGAGAAGCACATTGTATGATTTGTGGAACTCTTTTAGGAATCAGCATACATAAAATCTGACAACTTTACAAATATTTTCTTTACGGTTTGTCTCGTAGGTTGATTCTATGCCTTCATTATGCATACAAACAGATAATGACATGACAGAGATCCTTCTCATATCACCATTCAAGCTTGTGAAAATCTCTTTTTAGAAGAGATTTTTGGGATCTAAAATAATATTTTCTTCTTCAAATCATATCTTATCATATTTTCGACATCAAAGGCAAACACATGAAGGATTTTCTCTAAAAGCTTCTTCCATTTCATCAGCGAAGTGGTTGTATCACAGACACAAACAGTTCATTCTAGCTTAAAGTACAAAACAGCAGAAATCTCAAAAGTTTGATTTTAACACTTTATCATGCTTCTAATTATGTAAACAAATTCCACCAGGTATAATTGGGTTTCAGCTCTTTATAGGACCAAATTCAGAAGTTGCTAACAAAGTTACTAACAAATCCTCGAAGACCTCTATACAAAGCAGCATGTATACATTCTGTCATGGAAAGCCACAAACAAATGCTTTTGTTATTTTAAATCAACCTGTAGATTAATTGAAATGTACAACAGGGTAAGAAGAGCACCTTGGGGAAGCGGAACGAACCTAGCAAGATTTGAAACGAACCACATATGTCTTCGTATTGCTACAGCACTCTACTAAATAGCATGATTCCCATATCACATACTACTACTATTTCATATATGAATTCAATCTGTGCCCACAATAAAGATCACTCTTTTCTTCCAGTATTAATTTCACTTCTCCCATTATACTCACGCTCCCCCCTAATTGAGAAGAAAGGGAGCAGTACATCACCTTTTGAAAATCAAACAGTCGCTACAGCCCAGGCAAAGCCCAAGGCACCCACAGAAAGCAAACTCAATTCAAATATGACTCAATAAATAGAACCCACAAAAAATCAAGACAGATACCTGCTGAAATAAGAAGAATTTCAGTGAAAATTCAAGCATTAGAAGTGATGGAAACCTAGCCCTAATCTAATCAAAAAGAAGAAAAAGAAGGGGATAAGAAAGATTACCAGGAACAAGGAGTTTTCTCCTCCTTCGCCTTCGCCGTCGCCGTCGCGGTCTCCGTTGCCGTCGCTTGGAAGTTTTGCCGGAGATGGAATGGATTCACGGCGTAGAAAGACTGGAGAAGGAAGAAGGAGTATGCAAAGGAGTGGAAAAAAAAATCGTGGTAAAAAGCTTTTAAAAAGGATCCGAACCCAAATTTTTATTAAAAAACCCGCAAAAGACCCGCGAATTATTTAACTCCACAAGAGTTTGGAATTTCAAATAATAGTTTTAAGCCTGGAATTAAAATTGTGGCATTGGAAGTCTTTTGGCATTGGGCCAACGCAAATGTCATCTTATTTTTGGGCAACCGAACACCGAATTTTGGCATTAGAAACCCAAATTCCAAATCCAATGCCCCAATTTCATACAAACGAACAGAGCCTCATAGAATTTGTAGGACTTCTTAATTTCGAACTACTTTTGGCTGTATGTATGCCAAGATTTACTATCCCAGTTTTAGTATATCCGTACAACGTGTTTGGTCTTTTAGTTCATCTTTCACGCTTTATTTTTCCTTGTTGTACACTTACATGGGCAAATATATTTGGAAGATATACCCACTGAAACTGACTGCCAAAAACCTCCCAACATCTATTTCAAAATTAATTGAAAACCATAGCCCAATATTTGAGTGATAGAATTTTTCGAGAATTCAATTCGAGACGCTTTATAAGTTGTGCCTAAAATTTGGAATATCGTACTCCATTGAGTTGCCAAGGTTGAATTATTTTAATTTAAAGCAACTCGAAATTCGAAAAGGAAAAAATAAATAAATTTCTATGATGAAATAAAAGAACTATCAAATTTCCCTTAAAAATAGAGGGGAACCATCATCATTTCAACCACTTCATCATAATTTCGAACATTAATTTTCATCTTTCAGAGTTCGGACTATTAATTTTATTTTCCTGTGGGTTGTTTTCTTAGCTCGGAGTGGATCAAAAAAGATAAAAAAAAAAAACATAAATAAAAAATAAACAAACAGTGAGAGGGATGAGTACTAGATGCCTTCTTCAAGTCTTGTTTGGCTCCAGGTCATATTGCGTTGGGATTGTTTTAAACTTCAATGAGTTAGTTCCTACAACTTGATCATTAGTTCCACGTCTTTGCATTCTTGGAAACTGGGGACCAATTACTACCCATTAAAATCTATCACCAGTAATCGAGAATTTCCAGTTAAAGTAACAAACTTTCAGAGAGGACCAAAATTTCGGTTCTACAAGAACCTTAACTAAAATCAGCAATTCTACAAGTGAACTCCAACTTCACATCACATGGGATGATGAGATGGAACCCAATAATCACACACTATAACCCACCCTTCATTTCTCATCAAATATTCAATATAGCCCTCTTTCATATTCTTTTGGGATTCCTATTAGTTTTTTGGAGTGACGGAAGGATGGAGAGGAAGTTGCAGTCTGAAGGCAGATTCCGCTCCTTCTTCAAGGTTTATTTTCCTACCTCTTCAAAGAAAATGGTTAGTTCTTCAAACTCTTTCCATCCTTCTTAGCTTCAAAAATTTTGGAACTCTTAGTCTGATGCTTACAAATTTTCAGCCAAAACACATGATTGAATGGATCATTGTTGATTTACGTCGGCGATTAGGATATTTCCAGTACGGATCTGAGTTTTTGTTTTTGTGGATTGATCATACAAAATCTTTAAGACGAACGCTGTTTCATCCTTTGATTGTTGAATAATAGATTCAGAATGTTACTTTTTTCTAACATCAAAATTAATCATTACTTCATGAAGATTATATGCTTTTGATCCTTTTGTTTGACTGGTTGGAGAACAAGATTTGATAAGGACTATTAAGCTTTCGATTAGTTTGTTCACCTTGTGCCAAATACATAGCCAACTCCAAATAATAGTAAAAGCTGAGTTGCCTACGGTAAAATCTTCCAGAAAACAGCTTCCCTATACTCAGAGTTTCACACTATCCAATTGGCTCAATTGATGATAGGTTCCTTCTTAATGCACCAGTTTGATGTGTTAGGATTTATCATTAAAACTGTATGTAAATATCCTTTTTCTGCCTTAAAATGTTTAATCAGATGATTGTGAACCCTTTACCATGCAGCAAATCCCCATAGCTTACACTGCATACATGAAAGACAAAATACCGAAGACATCATTTTTAAGGCATGAAGATGGAAAAGTTTGGAAGGTGCGGGTTGAAGAAACCGGGAGTTGCTTCTATTTCTGTGATGGTTGGGAAAAGTACGTTAGGGATAATTCTTTAGGAGCAGGGGATTTTCTAGTTTTTCAGATTGATGGGCAGAGGGTTTATGACGTAACTTTGCTCGGACGCAATGGTAGCGCAAAGACTGTGGTTGAAGTAGATGAGGTGGAAGACGAAGAAGAAGAAGAAGAAGATAAAGCATCTTTTAACCACTCAAAGAAGTCCGAAAGGGAGAAGCCTGGTAAGTTAAGAAATTTCTGTTTTAACCTATTTGTTACTTAATTCCTTCGATTAAAGATTTTAATGCACTAATTTCATGTCAAAGGAAACCGTAAGCGGACTGTTGCTGATCCTCATGACCATGAAATCTTTACATCGGGACTGGTTTCCAGGCCAAAAAATCCTTACTTTCTCTCCTCTGTCAGGAAAGAGAGGAAACAAGAATTGGTAAGATATTGATACATCCTTCTTGACCAGTTCAATTCATGTTCCTTTACCATATACACTTCTGGATTGATTCTCTCGAATCATTGATATTTCTTTTTGGGTGGTATATAGTCCTTGGAAAATCGAATTATTTTAAAATAACGAGCTATGCAGCCCATGATTTGTTTCATTTTGGTTTTATTTGATCCCTTAAATTTTAATCCATGTTTACTTCTTTTTTTTTTTTTTCCTGCCTTTGGGATATCGATGTAGTTTGTGCCATTGGATTTCATTGAAGATCATAACCTTTGCCTCCCGTCGGTTATAAAGCTTCATGACCAACATGGTAGAAAGTGGGAGTCAAAGAAGAAAATATGGAAGGATGGCAGGGTGTGGTACTATAAAGGATGGGGAAGGCTCTGCAGGGTAAACCGTGTCGCAGAGAATGATATCTGCATCTGTGAACTCAGGAAAGGAATAGATGGAGAGCAATTTTTCCATGTTCGAATTGTTCGGATCAAAGATGGTGCTTAGACCTCAACACTAAACCTAACAACTGATAGCTGGAATGTGTTTTACGACCATTGTTTTAATCAGATTTTGAGAGACATAACCATTAATTAGTTATTGCAATAATGTGGACATTTTAGATGAATCAAGCCAAAGCTGACGCATGACTAACACTAATTAAAATGAATGTTTGCAGTGCGGTTGTTGTTGTAGTGGTTTTAATCAATCTGCTATGATTAATAATGTGATTCAGCGGGCAAATTCATTAACACTGATTGATATGTGTGAATCTCATTTGGTTTTGAATTCTGTTTCTGTTTCATAAGAGGCCATAATTATGAACTAGTTTATGCTTTGTAATCTGTCTTATAAATAGAATTGCACGAAATGTCTAAACTCCAAGAAAGATTGAACTGTCCAAGAAAGATTTTTCCGTCTGTAACTCCAAGATGTTGGAATTTTTTCCTTAAATATATTTCTTTATATATTACCTTGATTAAAATAAACCTTCCAAAAATTTTGTGGACAAACTTATATGTCCCGGATTTCCTAAATCCTAAACCCTAAACTCGGATTTCCGAAATCCGAACCTCCCTAAACTCAGATTATAGAAATCTGACTTTGTGTTACGTAAATCCGATATTAATTTAATGACAGAAATTAGTGTAATTAATCTAAATCTGGATTTTTCAAATCTGTATTTACGAATAAAATATTAATTTCAGGATAGAAAAAAAATGTGTTGAAAAATTAAATTCAGGAAAACACAGATCACAGTAATCCAAATGAATGTAGATTCGGATTACCATAATCCGAATCTCCTCTGTTTTCTGCAAAATGCTAACTCTCAGTTGGCTACATACTCGGATTTACGAAATCCGATTCCTTTACAAAAAGTCTGAGTTCGGATTTCGCAAATCCGAGTCTATGTCACAACTGAAAAAAAAATTAGACTGGTTTTAACCAGTTCTAAACCTGTTTACAGCACCAACAACAATGAAACATTGGAAAATAGAAAAACAAAATAATAAACGGCATTCGATTAACAACAAACAAATCAAGTTTCATATTAAAATCAATACAAAAACTACTTTAAATATGCAAAATACATCAAAGGTCTCATTTTTTCCCTTTTCCTTTATTGTGCACATCCGGAGTGTATTTATTTGGGCCCTGTAGAATCCTGTCTCCCCTCTTAAGATACGTGAGTATTGAACTCTGTTGTGGTTGCGATTGTCCACCAAAATAAGGCTCGGGTTGGGGTTGGGATTGGGACTCCCCCATAGTGAGAAATTTGACTACCGGTTGTGGTTGCGACTGTCCACCAAACTGAGTCTCGGGTCCACCAAGGTCAAACTGAATCTCGGGCCCACCAAGGTCAAACTGAGTCTTGGGTCCACCAATGTCTTCAAATTGAGTCTCAACCTGGATGTGCGAGCCTCAAGAAGAATGTGTTTTGATCCTCATTTTGTTGACCGTCAGTTTGTAGTTGCGATGTCCGAGGGGGGATTGGGACCTTCCTCTTGCTTCCTCCTCCAATCTTTTCTCTCGATCACGGTTTCGCTTTTTTACCCGGCGGAGGTTGTGAGGGCAAAGATGGATCTTCATCAACCAGGATTTGGGTATCTTCTACCTCCATCTCATCATTTGCACCCAGGGTTAAAACAACATGTGTTTGGTTGATGATATCGTCCAAATGCTTATCGAGTTCTTAGTCTAGGAGATTCTCATCTTCTCGTTTTTCTCTAAACTTTTCGGAACTCACACGAATGTTGTTCAATACTTCACCCTGAAAAGAAATTGAGACGTTAATTAAGAGAGGAAATTCTATAAGAATAAAAAAAAAAAAATGAAAACATAAGAAATAAAAAAATATATATAGAATGAACTCACATATAATTTCACTCGTCTCGAAGAAGTTTCGTATCCTTGAGGTTCATAATTTTTGGGATTGGATATCAGTCTGATAGTGTTCACGATGAACCATTCACAGTATCCCTCATATACGGAACCAGGGTCTCCTTCCTCCAAATCTCGTAGCACATACTCTTCTCTCCTATTCCAATGACGACATACTACGGAATGGTGGTCCACACAATTGTTGCTAGGATACCCAGACATGCTGTGGGAGTGATCGAGAAGAAATGCTACGTTATTTTTAATCATAGAGCGCTTGGGAATATCCTGTATGTATCCAAATTGTCTCACAACTCTGCCCGACTCGTGGGGTTCCCTAATAGCCCAACAGAACATCCAACACCTAGTCGTCCAAATGGCTTGGTCTTGTGTACAGAAATCAGGGAGTTTGTGAAGGACCTGCGCATATGGTTGCCACCGAAACTACACGAAAAGAATTTCATTAGATGGTATAACTGGAACGAAAAGAAATTCAAAGTAAATATAAATATCAAATTACAAGTACTTACATATTCAACACGTAGGCTTGTTAATTGATCTCTAAAAGGTGGGGTGCTGCTCCTTCGGGCGTCTCCGTAATGAACAAAGGGGTACATTTGAATTAGTAAAAAAAATGAATAAGAAACAAATAGAAATAAACATTGAGTTATTGTGAACTAAAAATACGTACCGCTGAGCTAATGGAGCGGTCTCATCAATCAAATAATCTACTCTTTTTCTTTGTGGCGCGATTCTCTCGATCTGTTCATATGCCCACATCTAGTAAATTTCAATAATAATGTTAAAACTTCAAATTATAACGTCGAAAGCAAAAAATAATTATAACACCAATTGAAAACTAATACGTACCTGTAGCAAACATAGACAGCAAGTGGCGTCGTGCATGGTATACTGTGATGGCTCGCACAGTCCAGAGTACAAACCAGCCAGTAGTGCCGATCCCCAACTGTATCGACTACACTGATCCAAATCCTCAACTTGGGCCAAGAACTGCAGATTGACAGTGTTTTGCGTCTTGTTAGGAAACATGAAACTACTAATAAAATGCAGTATAAGTGTCCGGGCCCTTTGTTCGAATCGATGGACAGTGGAATTCTCAGGGAGTGCGCGGCCCATCTCATCTTTGAAAATACCAACATTGACACATTGGCCATTTATTTGGGCTGGCTAGAATCCCAAATAAGCCTCACATCGATCCTGCCATTCATCTGCAGTCTGGTTAACTGTCGTCCCGAATACCAAAGAGGACCTTGACATCCTGTAGTGTCACAGTCGCCTCTCCAAAATTAAAATAGAAAGTGTGGGTTTCTGGCCTCCATCTTTCCACCAACGCGATAATGAGACCGATATCCACTCTTTTGTAGCCTACTTTCATGATCTCCTCAAAACCGGCTCTCTTAATGACTTAACCTCGGGTGCCGTATTTTTGTATATCCTCCAAAAATCGTTGTCGTATCTACGGCCCTTGAGGCGGAATGTTTTAATGTCTGGTATCTTGTTCTCATAGACAGCTTAGGACCTATGCTTTGTTTGACGATATAGCATTTTATCTTGTATCGGTCCCGGGTGAAGATGTTTAGGTTGATATTCATATTGCGAGCTCGATGCCGGCTGCGCTATTTCAATCCTGGACAAGGCAAAAACAACTACACTCAAACCGAATCTAAAAACAACCAAACAATTCACAATACACCTTCGGCCAAAAAAACAAAACAACCAAACTATGTACATATATAGACAATTCACATTCTAATTCATTTTCAAATTAAACTCAACTCAACCAATGCATCAAACCATATACATTCGGCCAATCCAAACAATTCACATTCGGATTTTACAAAAACAAAACACATTCGGCCAAACCAAACTACTACACATTCACTGACTTTAAAATGTAATGAAAATGTTAACATTACAATGTAATAGATTCGGACTACTGAAATCCTAATCCCGGCAAAAAATAAAAAAAAATTGGAGGTGAGTCACTGACCGCAAATTTGGAGGTGAGTTCAATTTGGAGCTGAGTTCAATTCGGTCACCACAAATTCACTATCTGACGGGAGTTCAATTTGGAGGTGAGTCGCCGAAAATTCGATCGCCGGCAGAGGAGTTGGATGTCACAGTCGCCGGTAGTGATGTGGAGGAGTCGCCAGCAGTGGAGGTGGTGGACTGCAGCTGACGGACTGGGATGAGTCGCCAGACGGAGGAGAGCTCCGATTGGGTGGTGGAAGGAGTTGGCGGACGGGTTGGAGCGGTTGAACGGCGAATTTCTGTTGCCGGTTGAGGGTGGGGGGTTCTTTTAGGGTTTTCGTCGGACAAGTTATTGGGGAAAATGAATTGGGAAAGAGTTGACCAACTATTTATAGTCGCTGTCAATCTCGGATTTGCGTAATCCGAGTTCAGCAATCCGAAACTCGGAAATCCTAATCTCCCCTGTTTCTCCGGAAAATGCACTCTCGGATGCTTTCCTCAATTCGGATTATTGAAATCCGAACCCTTAGCTGCAGGAAATCCGACTGCAGGAAAATGCACTCTCCCCTGTTTCACCATCCTCACTTTTCACATTTAATGTTCTGCGCTGCACAGCCCACGTCGTTGGACTACTCGCGGCGACCGTATATTCCATTTTATGATGGATGTTCCATAATTTCACAGCATGCTTTGCTTCTGATTGAGATTTGAAACAAACACCAATGTCCATTCCTTCGGGCGTCTCATCTCACATCTTAAGAGCAAACTCATCCTTGTCCACACATGAGGCATCCCATTTCCCCATCTTGCTATATACATAGCGTCAGGGCAATGGATTACAATCCCTTTCCTCATTTTCTAAACCTTTCATTATCACTTTCTTTAAAATCACTCTCTCCAGAGACATCACAGTCTTCTTCGCTTTCACTTGGAGCTATGTAGTCGGAATCCGACTCTTCCCGGTAGTCATCTTGTGCAAATAAAGGTGTCTCTTCTTCATCACGGTTTCGAGAAGTACTAGCACGTTTCCCCCTTGGAAAACCACCAAATGACACATTTTCTAAACTCGCTTCTCTTTCTTCTTGAGTGAAATCTTCCAAATCTATGTATAAATCCAAACATGACATTGGATCTACACGGTTCATGAACTCTACATGCGAATCATTCTTGATCTTCACTACACGCCTACTACCGGGACTATCGAAAATCTGAGAAAGGTAGAGTTTCACGCGTGCTGGATCCCAACCAAGTGTCATACAAATCTTACTAATCAATCCCTCATATGACAACCTTTCCTCAACAAACAAACCATTATCCGGTATATTCGAAGTTGATGCTACCATTCTCTATCACATACTTGCTTGTATGATACAAATTAATCATGTATGATATACGTGCCATTGATAATTGTTTAAAAAAAAATCAATAACTAATCATTTC